GCCCCTGGTGCGCTGAGCCAGCAACAAAGACAAGGTGTAGTGGCACATGCCTGTAATCCCAGCGTCAAGGAGGGTGAAAATAGGAGGATCACTATGAGTTCAAGCTGCATAGTGAGACACTGTACTAAATACATACATTTTTTAAAAAGACAAAATAAATAAATCAGGGGGCCTGGCCCTAGCTCAGGCCTTTAAGTGGCTGTTTCCACAAAGCTGTCAGCCTCAGGTTCCTGGAGTTCGAACCTCACACCTCTCCCGCTGGAGAGTGCCCTGAAGGCATTCGAGGAACAAAAAATCAATCAATCAATCAATCAATCAATCAATCAACTAATTAATTTTTACAAAATCACCTAGAGGCTAGGTATGGTGGTCCACATCTATTAATCTCAGTAGTCTGGGAAACAAAGGCAGGAAGATCATAAATTCCAGCCCAGCCTAGACAACTCAGTGACTTAACAAGACAATCTTAAATTTTATTTTAAAAAAGGACGAAGGATGTACCTCAGTACAAAAGCCCTAGATGCAATCCCCTGTGAGGGAGAGGAGGAAAGGAGGAAGGGAGAGGAGGAGGCAGGGAAGGAGAAAGACAGACACACCAACTCAGCCAGGCAGCTGGGCATGACTGTGACTTCCTGTATATTCAGTTTCTGGCCTACATGAGCTGCAAACTTTCACAGGTATACTGTATAAGACTTACCTTGTCAGCTCAAAACAAACCCAATTTACAAAAATTCTCCCCAGTGGAACCTGTTGGTAAATCAGGGACTTACTGTAATCCCAGCACTCACCAGTCTAAGGTAGGAGGATTGTAAGTTTAAACCCAGCTTGGGCTATGTTATAAGTCAGCCTTGACTTAATAGTGAGACCTTGTCTCAAACAATCAAACAGGCAAGTAGAATGAGTGAGAAGAAAAATGAAATTAGTGCTGGGATGTGGCCCAGTGGAGAGTGCTTACAAGCATTCATGATGCCCTGCATTTATGCCTCACATCCGAAAAGGAAAAATGGTAGACAAATCAAAATTGTAGTATACATCTATTAAATTTCTTGTTCAATAAATATTAGAGGGGCTGGAGAGATGGCTCAGTGGTCTAAAGCACCTACTTGGAACAAGCTTGGCAAAGCACAGGAACCACGGTTCAATCCCCCAGCACCACATGCCAGCCATCCCCGCCCCCTGGTGGGCTGAGCTGGCCACACACACACACACACACACACACACACACACACTAAATGAATAAATAAAAAAAAATTAAAAAAAAATATTAGAATTTCTACCAGAAGGGCACCAAACTTTCCAACTATTTAGTAGGAGACTCATTTGCCAACTAGTATTAACAAACCTGATACACATTAAAAAGATAAAATTCAGTCATAGAAATAACCTGCAAAAGGGTCAGGAAAGTCACCTCACACATTATTATTTTTCAACTGAGACAAAGAATGAGAAAGTTATAAGGAATAGGCTGAGTGTGGTGGTATTTTCCATCTGTAATCTCTGCACTCTGGGAAGCTAAAACAGAAGAATCTGGGAAGCTAAAGCAGGAGGATCAAAAGTTCAAGCCCAGCCTGAGCTAGGGGGCCAGGGAAATAGCTCAATAGAATAAGCACTTGCCTGGCAAGCGCAAGGCCCTGAGTTTAATCCCTGGTGCCGCCAAAAAAAAAAGAGCTAGGGATACAATTCTGTAGCCCATGGATTCAATCCCTAGCACACCAAAGGTGGAGGGGGGGGGGCAGTGGCTTCAGTATCTCTTAGGAGGAACTGCTGCTTCACATAAGGAACAAAAATAGGAACTACAAGATTTGATTTGTATTCTTGAAAAGGTCACTACTTCTGTAGAGTGGAGAACAGCTAGAAGACCACACCAAAGGAAACATATCAGGAGGAAAGGAAACATGTTAGGAAGCTGCTAAATTGTAACAGCAGGGGCAACTCAATGTCTGAGAGAGTCAAAAGGCTGGGACACAGCTCAGCAGCAAAGCCCTGGCTTCCTGCCACCACCCTCAGCCCCACTGAGGGGAGGAGGGGGAGGAAAGAACCACACACTGGAAGAAAGTAGCAGATTAAGTCAATCTTGAGAATTTTCAGCCTCCAGAAATGTCTACAGGAAACAAAGCTTAAGGAAGTGGTGTGATTTATATAGAATACAAGGGAAAAAGATTGGGGGAAAGGGGTCTACTGTTGGATAGATAGTGCAACTCCAGTTAGCAGATGGTCATACCACCATGAGAGAAGCATAAAGCCCAGGCCTCAAACTGAGCTCCACAGGATGCTGGCTACTACTTCAAAGTAGTCCCACAAACCAGAACAGAGGGAAGGGGTAAAGCCTGTCTATGCAGCTCTGGTTTACAATACACCAGAATTGCAAATATTCTTAAATCTGAGTTTTCCAGTTTTTGAAGGCTTAGCATTAAATCACAGATTTATAGAATCTTGTACAGGGTCTCACTACACAGCTCAGACTCAAAGTGATCCTCCTGTTTTCAGCCTCCCCAGTGCTGGGACTACAGGCCTGCGCCACCTCACCAGGTCTTGGTGGTGGGCTCAGCACATGGGAGGGGGTGGGGGCGGGAGGCACATTGGTGCCAGGGATTGAACCCGGTCCCTGTGCCTGCCTAAACTGGCACTTGGTAGTAGTAAAATACCTTAGCAGCCTGAGCTATCTCACCAGTCCTTCAATTATATCTTTATACTATTCTGCCAACAAGATGTTTCAATGTAATATGTACTACTGCTTTCACCAGTCACCTCTTCAAGTGTTAAATTCAACTGCTTAAACTACAAAAACAAAATTACACAGCGCTACTACCTAAAAGGCCACCCACCCGCTTTCTGGGCCCAAAACACTGTAACACTTGAAATAGAAGCTTTGATTCAAGTAGACAAGGGCAGGAAAAGTAGGAAAATAAGGCCGGGGAAAAGGCTCAGTAGAATAAGCACTTGCCTGGCAAGCACAAGGGCCTGAGTTCAATCCCCGATTCCACCCCTTCAAAAAAAAAAAAGTAGAAAAATATAAAGAAAAATAAACATCTTCATGGGTTAAACTAAATGCGAAACCTCATTTACAACTGTTTTCACGCCATGATAAGCATCACCAGGGAGGCTTTTTGTTTTGTTATTGAACCCAGGAATTCATGAATGCTAGGCAAGCTCTCTAACAAAGCGCTACACCCTGAGCTCTTGAGAAAAACAAAAACACAAATATCCAGGTCCCACCTCAGAACTGAGGTAGGCTCCAGGGATTTGAGGTTCTGCTTTTTGACTCAGGGGCTCTATACATTGTCCAGGCTAGCCTCAAGCACTCCTGCTCAGCCTCTTGAGTAGCTAGGGCTGTAATCACTACACCTAGCCTTTTTATTCTGATCACTTAACTGATTCTAATGCCAGGTAGGTTTCAGGAAATTTGAATTTGATGACCCTGAGAGTGTTCTACATATATCTTTAAAGTCCAAATAGACAAGTCGGTGTCAAAGACATTGAAAACTGCACTTAACTATATACTGCACTGCAGCCATCACCATGCCCCGGAGAGGCAGAGTGTACCCTTCATCTGCCTGTAAGAGCAGGTTCTATTTAAGTCACTGCGTCTCCTTCCCTCCTCCCCCAACACTTCCTTATCTCGGGGTCAATTACACTGCAGAGTGGTGAATATTCTCTATCCACTACAGAGAAAAGCAACTTCTCAAATTAGAATTGTAACAACCAGTAAAAGAATTCCAGCTCCTGCATTTTCTCACCGCACATTTTTTTTTTCTTTGTCTGGCTATCTTGAGTAAAGTAAATCATCCTTCACTGATATTTTTATCAACAAATGAGACACCTGGGTGATTAAGCTCATGAAAAACAATGGGGAGGAGAGCGAGGGAGGACTCTCACTTCTGCCTCGGTCACCCAAGAGCTGGGATTACAGAGAGTACCTTGCCCAGTTTCTCTGTGTACTCTCAAAGAACGAGAAATGTTTTAAAAAGAGTGAGATCTTAAAAATAAGTGCAGAGGATTCCTTCTAAAACAGGCCAAGGTGGAAATGAAACCTCTCCCAGCTTTTCTCCTAAGAATTGCTTTCTGGGCAAATGTTACCTTGAGTGAAGAGCAAAGTGTTTTAAATGATCCCTCAATGATCCTATTTTGTCAATAAGCATGAGACATCTGGGTGACTAAGAGCGTCTTATTTCTTCCTAAGACTGTCCAACCAAAGGAACGACGGCAGTTAAGATCCTGGCGGGGTACCCTTCTCCATACCCACCTTGGCTATTCTGGAGAAAAGGCAAAAACCATAATTAGGGCTTAGCATCAAATATCCTGGATATCTTTAGACGTAGTTTAGCTAGGTTCCCAAATCGTATCATAAAATTCTGCCAACTAATTTATGTAGGTGTAAGAAAGCTTCACTTTACATGCAGCGAATTAAAAATATTACTACCAAATTGGTAGGCTAGGATTTCAATTCAGCTCTAAGTACCAAGCATCTCCGCACCTCTTGTGCCCCAACACAGCGGCCGTACAGTGGAACGGGCACAGGTACCACGCAGCAAAGACAGGAAAAAGCCGCTTCTCAGCACAAGATCCAAATGTGACATTCCCATCCCCTAGAAAGGGTCCCATAAGCATGGGGAAGGAACCCAGGCAGAGCAATACGATCGCGTAAAGGGCCTCCACTTGCAAGGCGACGGGCGCCAAAGCCTTAACTGCACTGTTCCTCCCAAATCCGTCCCTGCTTTGGGGAGGGGCGGCCGCGAGCGCCAGCTTTTTCGAGCCTGCGTTGCAGAGCTCCAGCTGGAGGGGGAAAGAAAAAAAAAAAAAAAGGGCAGCGATCCCTCGGGACCGGCGCCTCGAGCGTTCCCACCAGCCACGCAATGCCCGGCGAGACGCTCCTGCCCGCGCCACAGGGTGTGGGGGAGGAAGAGCCCCAGCCCGGCCGCTGAGCTGGCAAGCCGCGAATGGCCGGTCGGGACCCCGGTCCGCCAGTCATCTGCCACGGGGCCGTCCGAGTTCTCGCTTACCTGAGTCCCTCTCTCCTGGGACCCGCTCCGCCGCTGGCCTAGGCACCGCGAGAGCCGGGACTGCGGCCCCCCCGCCGCCAGCACCGAGCGAAGAGCCGGCAGCTAGAAGCTGTGTGGCCTGCTCGCGGCAAACACAGCCGCACAGTTCTTCCAGCGCAGCCGCGCCGCCGACCTGCGGGCGCTCGCTGATGGCGTCACCGCGTTCTGCGCTTCCGCCCCGCGGGGGCGTGACGCCACCCTGCTTCCGATTCCGCCCGGCATCGCCCGGCCCCTGCGCTGCCCGAAGGGGTGCAGGTTGCTGCCGCGCATTTTCTAATAAATCTGGGAGACTCCCCCCTTCTCAAGTTTCTGCCGCGAGGGGCCGCAACACAGCACAGCTGGTCTACGGCCCCGCCCTCCACCTACCGCTATCTTTTTGCCTTAAGCAAAAAATCACCCTTCTGCGCTTTTTGAGGCCTGGCTCGTGTTTTTTCATCTCTGGTTTCCTTGTCGATCTTAACGTTTTGCTATTGCAATTTGCCTTTGGTATTGTTTTGGTCCTGAGGTTTGAATCCAGGGCGTTCTCACTGAGCTACAGATACTGTTTTTTTGAGACAGGGTCTCACTGTGTAATAAAGGCCGGTCTCGATCTCGTAGTAATAATCCTGCCTCAACCTCCCGAGTGCTGGAATTGTTACACGCCCTCTTCTTATTCGGCGACAGAATTTCGCAGTTGCCCCGGACCTCGCAAGTTGAATCCTGCCTCCGCCTCCCAGAGGGTTGGGATGATAAGTGTGCGCCACCACTCCCGGTTGTAATTTATGTCAGTCCCTTCACCCAGCTGCCCAGCAGAACATGTTCCAAGGAGGGGAAAGCCTGTTTTTAACCAGTGTTGCACCAGCCCCGAACTGGTTTATAGGGGTCTTACGAAGACTGTAGTAAATTTTCAGTTAGTTTCTGATAGAGGAAGTGACTTCAGCCTTTTATGTTGACCCATTAGTCATCCAGGAACATTTTAAAAATGTGAACATGCAAGACCACTGTCTAATTGTAGAGAAAGAGACATAAGCTAGTGTCCTAACAGGTAAAAAAAATATGACATTTTATGATGGAAGATGAAGCTGTCTTTGGACACTATTTGGTCTGCAGCAAGGAAGTGGAGATAAATATAATGAATTACTAAGGATGAGCTGCTGAGAATTTTGTGTCTCAGGCACAGGCAATAAAGGCGCATAGTGACTGGAGAAGCTAAAAACAGGCTAGGGGCGTTTCTCAGCGGGAGTGAGGTAGTATACAAGAAATAAAGGTATCTGGGTGTGGTGGTGGATACCTTTAATCTCAATCTTCCCAGGCTGAGACAGGATCTTTGTGAGTTCCAAGCATGGACTGTGTGAACTCCATAGTAAATTGAAGGTCACCCTGGACTACAAAGTGAGAATCTGTCTCAAAATACCACGCAAAACAGGGAGAGTGAGAGGTAGAATAGGGAAAAAAGGAAACTATAGTTGTTGTACCCCCCCCCCAGCCTTTTGTTCCAGGCCTGTCACACCCAAATCTTTAAGGATACTACATATTGATGCACTAAATAAAAGACAGCAACCTGACCTAAGATTGAAGAAACAGCTAGATGTAGTGGCACAAACCTGTAATCCTAGTGCTCTGGGAGGCTTAGACATTAGCAACTCAGCAAGTCCTTGTCTCTAAATAAATTATAATAAAGTGGGGGAGGGTCTTGAGATGTAGCTCAATGTAAGGCCCTGGGTTCAGTCTCCAATATCAAAAAATAAAAGATTCAAGAGGGTCAATTTTCTAAAAATATTCTTAATCATTTATTTATTTGGCACAGGGTCTCTCTATGCAGCTTGGAGTCATAGTGATCCTCCTGTCTCAGCCTCCGCAGTGCTGGGATGACAAGCATGCACCATCGTGCCCAGTTTTAGTGGCTGGCACAGTATGCAGTATCAGGGATCCAACCCTAGTCTCTGTGGTTGCCAAGCAGTCACTCAGACCACCAAGCAATTGCCCCAGTCCTTTTTTTTTTTTAAAGAGTGGATCTTGCTGTAGTTCAGGCTGAACTTGAACTTACTACTGTGTAGCCCAAGCTGGCCTCAAACTTGAAGTGATAATCTTGCCTCAGCCTCCCAAGTGCCAGTGTATGCTACATGCCTCTCTCAAAGACAGAACTTTCAACCTCTGATCTCTCTTCTTGATATGGCCATACTAATTAAAGCTCCTTTTTTTTCTTTGATAGATAGATATTCCCAACACTCTCAACCACCACACTCTTTCTGAGTGTGTACCTCAACTCTGCCTAAATAAATCTGCCTATGTCTCTCACTGACATCCTGAAATGCTTTTCTTGTACAAAATGAAAAATTAACTCTATAAGGGAGCATTTAGCTCCCCTTTCCTCTCTGGGGGACCAGCTCAGACTCTATCAGGTGACAGGAAGGCACATATTAGCATGCAAGGCCCCGAGGTCATCCCAGCCCTTGAAAAAGGGGGGCTGGGGGTGCTTGCTTCCCATGTACTGAGGTCCTGGGTTTGATTCCCAATACCACAGAACAAAATAGCTAGTAACAACTACAAGCTGGTTTGCTTTTCATTATCACACACGTCAATTAATTCTAAACAATGTTAGCAACATGGTTCTTTCCAAACTAAGACCTATAGTCTTTATTTCTAAACAATTAAAATAACTTCAAATTGACAATATTCCCTCAGTTTAAATCTTTTGAGATTTCTACTTCCCGCCAACATGGAATATCAGATCATATTTACCCTCCTGTTTGAGTTTTAGAGCAAAAGCCCTGGCTCCATGGGTCCCAAGATGTTAGTCAAGACCAGCAGTGAAGGGCAGAAAAGGCCTTACTTAGTATGGCCATGCTAGGAAGACAGAGGTTTAAGATGTCTTCAAGCAAGGGATGGGGAACTTGCTTGTAATCCCAGCACTGTGGAGGGCTGAAGCAGGAGGGTAATGCATTCAAGCTCAGCGTGGGCAATTTTATCAAGACTGTGTCTCAAAATAAAAAAGAATGTAGCTCACTGTGAAGGCCCTGGGCTTAATCCCCATTCTCCACCCCCCAAATCTGTCTTCAAGGGGCTAAGAGCAGCTTGGGGTTCCACAGAAAATGGCAAGACAAAAGCAGGGGTTGAGGTTTGCATAGCTGAAAGCTAGGTAGTCCTGAGGAAGCATCCGGTTGCCTGGTGTCTCAGACCTAACTATGTGGTTCTGAGACCCATAAAACCTGAAGGCAACTCGGTTCCAGGGAGGCTCTCCCTTAGAGGGCCAGACTCAGTTCCACCAGGGAGTGATTTTTCCCACTGGGCACAGAGACCTCATCATAGGGTGTTCTAGGAGTCTGCATTTTTCCTGGAATGTGAGGTGACTGCAGCTTTAAAACTGACCCTGGAGACTTTAGGGCATCTTTTTTTTCTTTTTTTGGCAGAACCGGGGATTGAACTCAGGCCCTTGTGCTTGCCAGGGAAGCGCTTATTCCACTGAGCCATCACCCTGGCCCCAAATGTTGGGGCATCTCTTGAAAGGATTCTGGAACTGGACATTGTAATAAAAGCTGGCAATTGGATGTGCCTGCTAATCTTGAAAATTATTCTAGTTGCTTTTTTTTTTTTTTTTTTTCCAGTTATTCTTGTCCTCAATCTTGAGGAGGTAGGGCAGGTGAATTTAGGGCTAAAAAACCTTGTATTACCAGTTCTTACGCAGACACCAGTAATTAACATGTGATTAACATGCTTTGATATAGAGCTGAGCAGGGATCTGACCAGGTTTTAAGGTCATAAAGATGACAGATGAAGCCAGGCATGGTAGCGCTTGCCTGTAATCCTAGCACTCAGGAAGCTGAGGCAGGAGGAGTTCTAAGTTCAAGATCAGCCTGGGCTACATAGCAAGCTGAAGGCTATCCTGAACTGCAGAGCAAGAGGCTGTCTTACCGCGGGATCCTGAATAGACCCAGAGTGCGGGCCCGGCAAGTGAGTGAGACGACCTGGGGCCGCGGGATCCTGAATAGACCAGCAGAAAGAAGTGGAGCACAGCAGCCAGATCCAAACAACACCCACCTGGAGGAATCTGAACTTCATAGATCCGGACCTAGTGCTAAGGTCATAACTCTATCTAAGCTCTACACCAAGGGTCAGAAGACAGTGGTATACAAAATGACAAAGAGAAGGAACAAAATGCAGTCTCAGGCCCCGAGTCCACCCAGTACAAATGCAGAAGACACTAGCACTGAGAAAACTAGAAATCACACACCAGATATCTCTGAAATAATAGCGTTG